TAAATGAAAATAATTTCTATCCTTGTGTGATCGGTACACACCGGAGGGACCGCAGACGTTCGGATACAATTAGCGTCTCTTAGCAAAGACAATGACGTCGACTTTGCTAAGTATCAAGACAATTACTCTACACACACAAACATACACACGCACACTACATTAATAAACTTATCTTGATTGACACTGGCTGACTGACAATTGTTCAAGCCAAAACACACACAAAAAAAAAATAATAACATAAACACATAATATTGTCGATGACATCAAAACGACTCAAATCAAAACAAAAAAAATGCCGGAGAATAGAAAAGGAGTTGATAAAGAAATCAGGGAAAGAGAACTGGAGGGCGATCTATGGAACGATATAATGATATAATGAGATGGAGATTGGAAATCGGAAGACGTCGAAGAACGTTGTATACCAACATTATATATATATATATATATATATATATATATATATATATATATATATATATATATATATATATCTAAGTGGACAAAAATGTCGGCTGAAAAAAATTAAATAGACACAGAAAAACATAACATAACAAACCATTCTCAGCGATTTTCAGCTGTGTCAGCCTTGTCAAGCACGGTGTTTGACACTAAATTAACGGATTACTCTCTAAAACCATATCTGAAGTTGATCGAAAATCTCAGAACAATCTTCGGTATGAAAATTTAATACGCGAAAATTGCCAAGCAACAAACGTTCATACCAGCCAAAAATATTGCCGGCAAAATTTTCTCTTTTATGATATTATACAGATTGAACCAAATTAAAACGGAACATACAATTTAATACATGTCTGTTTGAACTGCATTTAAAATAGTGGACCAATATAAAACTTGGACAAAAATAAATCCATACCTGGGAATAGACATTGTATAAAATATCGTTCAACTATCTGTCTCGCAACAAAGTTGTTTGCGTAAGACGGGTTTGTCTAAGGAGGCGTAATAGTTCAGGAATTGAAGCTCGAAAAAAGTTAAAACCTCGCAATTTTTTCGTCCTGCATGTATCCAGTTGAAATTTTATCAGAAGGTAGGTAATAGCCCAAGGATCAAAATCTATATCGAACCGAAGTGCGCTGAAGGGTTTTAGGGGTGAAAACTACCCCTAATTGTCAAAAATTATAAAATAACATATTAAACCTGAATATGGGTAAGATTTGGTTTGAATTAATTAAATAATGATTATTTTATACTTTTGAATAGAGTTCCATCATATTTCAACCCTTAAAAAGCAACCCTTGTTAGAGATTAATGTAAAAAATTACTAATTCTAAAAAAATTATTTCGCCTTGTATCGATTTGGATAAAAATTTGGATTTAAGCTCAATTCACCCGCTGCTTTATAGTTTATGTCATGTCGACGAACCCTGATTGTTCTTAGGGGTGAAAACTACCCCTAATTGTCAAAAATTATAAAATAACATATTAAACCTGAATATGGGTAAAATTTGGTTTAAATTAATTAAATAATGATAGTTTCGTGCTTTTCAATAAAGTTCCATCATATTTCAACCCTTAAAAAGCGACCTCATTAGAGATTAATATAAAAAAATTAGTAATGCGAAGAAAATGATTTCACCTTGAAACGACTTGCATAAAAATTTGGAATTAAGCTCAACTCACCCTCTGCTTTATAGTTTATGTCATGCCGATGAACCCTGATTGTTCTTAGGGGTGAAAACTACCCCTAATTTTCAAAAATTGTAAAATAATATTACAAATCCCAAGATGAGTGAAATTTTGTTTGGATGAGTTAACTAGTGAGTTTTTTATACTTTAAAATACAAATTCATACATTTTCAACCCTTAAAAATTAATTGGTATGAGTGCTATAGGTGAAAACAATTTTTTGCCAAAATTTTGCAACTTTTCAACTTTTGAAAATCACCCTTTACAACATTGAAGATTTTTATAAACTAATTTATAAGATATAAATTGAATAAAGTAGAATTAAATACAAAAAAAATTATCAACATTAAAAGGCACCATATATTCTTATACATTTACATAAATAGTTGAAAATATTTACATTTATAGGTAAAACAATTATAATATTAATTTTATTCGTCATCAATTACATCTTCATCGTGATCTATGTCATCATCATCTTCCTCAATTATTGGTGGACTGTTATTGCATCCTTCACCTGAGCACCCAGAACCAGTAGAGTTACAGTATAAACCAACTTTTCTGCACCCATATGAAACGCCGCATCCTTTTTTGCATTGGCAGAAAATAATTTTCAAAAATTTATCGGATGCAGGTTGTTTGTTCATGCGTACGGGTAATAACAAACCATTTTTGGAAAACCATCCCCAATCTGTTGCTCTGATATTTTCATTGCCAAGCCATAGACATATGAGCAGATGTTTTATTCTGTTGGGATTGGGATTCTTATGGGATTTCAAAATAAGAACGCTTAAAATTTCGAATGTATAACGCCCCCCTAGCTAATATACCGGTTTTGTAGATTATTATGCTCCGAAATGTACTGTACTATACTAATGGAATTTTCCGGAAAAAAATTAACTGGTTTTTTTAACGTATTTCCTTTAATTTTTAACGATAGATGTTTCTTCAAATACGATTTGTAGAGGTTTTTAATAGCTACAAGGATCTGTGAATTAAATCTTTTTGGAACCCTTGGTTTTTAAATGGGGTGAGTTTAAAGGGCTCGAAAAAGATGGTGCTTGATCGTAAATCGATGCTTTAAACGGCTATATCTCGCCAAATATTCATTGTACAACAAATCTAAATAAAGGATAATTTTAGTCATTAAAAAAGCTACAATTTGGTAATTTTTATTTTTTTCATATATTCAGTATTTTCGGGCATATTTAAAAAAAGAAGGGTAAAAAATATAAAATTGTAAATCGTTTCTCGCTTTAAGCTGTACTTTTTCTAAAACTAAGCATTTTAAATGGGTCAAACTTCTTGGACGTATTAACAATACATCTACAAAGGGAATTGCAGAAGGGTGAAGATCGATTTTAATTATGGGGGTGGTTAGGGTGTTGTTTTCCTCGATTTTTTCGTAAAAAATGAGGTATTGACCTTATTTTTTTATGATAGGTCTATTTATGCTCTTTAAAAAAGGTTTTGTGAGTTTTCTTCCAAAAATGCATCATTTTCCCGATATTTGACTTTGAATCTTTCAAATTTGGCATTTGAAGAAAACCGCTGAACATTGATATTGTACTTGTAATTGTATTTGTCTTTTTAAAAGCTACAAATTTGTTCTCTACAATTTTTTTGATAAAATGCACCATTTTCGAGGTATTCGCGAAAAATCGATTAAAAACGTGGATTTTTTCGTCTAAAAAGTTGTTACTTTCAATCGCGAATAACTTGAAAAATATCATTTTATAAAAAAAATGTATAGCACATTTTTTGTTTAGAATCACTTTTCTAATCGAAACCTGTAGTTAAAACGTAAAAAAAATTTTCACCCCGGAGATGGGGTGGCAACCACCCCCTAGGCTTTGGCGCACTTTGGTTCGATATATATTTTGATCCTTAGGCTATTACCTACCTTCTGTTAAATTTCAAGTCAATCCACGCCGCACGAAAAAATTGCGAGGTGAAATGCTACATTTCTTGGACTATAACTGGTTTGACAGCATAAATCGTAGATTTATGTGTAACTTTCAATTTTTATGAGTTCAGAATCCAGCAGCCCACTGAAGTATGGGATTTTTTATAATATAATTATTTGACAATCTTTTGTTGGCCAACCAGCTACAGCAGAATTGAGCCGAAATACATTATATTCCTATGTTCCGAATTTATTTCGTTCAATCTGTATACGACAATTACTTTCACTTGGTGTTGACGAAACCGAAATATATCGCTCATTTAATGATTGGTGTTCTAAGCGATCAGATCTCACCAAAATCCTATTTAATTTCATGCAAGCAATTAGAAAAAACCAACTCTGCGACAATATCACATTTTGTACAAGAAATATCAATTTTTTTCCTTCAGCTGTTCCTAGATTCCCATAAGTTATTGCTTTTTTATCCGATGTTGCACCATATACAGTGTGTAAAAGCCAAATGGAATAAATTCATTATTTAGGTTATTGTACATATTTATAAAAAATCCCGAAACACGTCAAATTTAAATTATAACTTGATATTCTTTAACGTAAAAATGCAACCCCTACCTTCAACCATAATTTAATAATGCGTGTTAAAATAACGTTGCCACGGAAATTCTTTAAAGTTTTTTAATGGTTACCATCTAAAAACCACATTGCTATTGTTTTTGTTCACTTTCTCATTATCAAGACCTAAACGGGAAATAAGTTTTGAGTATATTTTAGCGAATTACGGTAACCACATGATTTTAATTTATTTTATCTTAATTATTCTTAATAAATTTGAAAGCGACAACATTTTTGAATGGAGAATGAAAAGACCTTTCAAACTATATATCACAAGCCTATACTTCCTATTTTAAAAATTGGGTGTTGTACCTGTCATTCTAAGGGGGTTGAAGGTAGGGGTTGAATTTTCACGTTAAAGAATGTCAAGTTATAATTTAAATTTGACGTGTTTCGGGTTTTTTTTTATAAATATGGACAGTAACCTAAATAATGAATTTATTCCATTTGGCTTTTACACACTGTATGGTTAAAGCAAGGCAAAATTTAAAAATATTTTATACCAACTTAATACACGTTACTTGTTTAGAACATGGAATGAACAGAATTGCGGAAGAAATTAGAAAAATTTGGTTAAGTACTTCATTTTGATTATCATTATATTCTACAAAATTTTATGCATAAAGTCGATGAGCAGAGTAATAAGTGAATATGTATGTATTGTATAATATACAATACATACATGATGTACCTTATACTGCAAGCGTGAGAAAACCTACAGGCTACTATACCGAGCGATAAGAAATATTCACTTTAACATTGAAAACCATTATTTATAAATAGCTTCGTATAAAACAAATAATGATGAAATACTTACACTTTCAGCTGTAAGAACGACCACGTTTTTATCTGTCTGGGCTTTCTTTTTCTTGGTTTTTGTGTTGGTATTTTGATGGAGAGCGTTTCCATTTTCATCAACTTTCTGCAACAATAAAAAAGACAATACAATTTTTACCCAGACGAAATATATTCGAATTATTCACAATCATAAAGCGTGACGTAATAACCTAAAAAGGTTGAATCACTGTTTTTTTAATAAAAACAACAAAAACAAGAAGAAATAATCTGAGTTGATTCGAAAATAATAGTAATAATTGCATTATAAGCTGTTATAAATAATAATGATGAGACATTCAGTAATTGTACAATTTTAGCTGTACAAATAACTCGTTTTAAAAATACAAATCCAATTAAGGAAATATAAAGTAGAGAGAAGAGCAAGTCATTGTGTTTTAAAAATATCTTTAAATATGTCACAGACTTGTTCAATACATTTTTTAAATTCAATGTACCTATTAATTGGAGAGATTTTATTTTTAATACAGTGACATGCGGTCTGACATGATTAAATTATAAGGAAGGGAATAATGATCATTCTAGAAAACTAAAAATGTTTAATACTATTCTAAATAGTATGTATAGTTGCTATTAAGCATCATTAAATATTTCCTTGTCCACTGATAAATTTCTATCTCATAAGATCTCCCTCATAATTTTCCATCTGTTTCGATTTTGTGCCTCTTGCACCCAAGTTTTTCTGGCAACATTCATCAGCAGTCCATCGTGTTGGTGGATGACCTCTACTTCTCGGTCTACATTCCGTATCCGCTTTGTCCATATGTTATCTGTCATTAGAGTCACGTGACCTACCCAGCTCTATTTCAGTGTTGCTATTCTCTCTTAGCGTAAATGGACATGGATCAGCCCAGATGGCAGTGTCAAAAATGAAATAAGATTATACCATATCAAACAGAAAAGAAATAATCAACAAACACATCGAAGTACTCAACAAATTTTTAATAGGAAGCGACAGATTAATTCGAGCTAAGATACTATTAAATGTCAAATTGGAAAAAACAAAGATAATCCTAAAAAACAAGAAAAAAGAAATGGATTCCCCAACGACCTGTATGAGGATATACTAACCAGACATATACAAGACTTGCAAGATGAAAAAGAAGATTTAGATCAAGTAAATGATGGCATAACGAAGGCTCTAAAAGAAACGGAAAGGGAGTGCTGCCCGATCGTTCTGACCCATAAAGAAAAGCTAAGCCCAAATACCAAAGAGCTAATAGGTAAAAGAAGAAAGCTGACGGAAAAATACGACTCCAACTACAAAACAATGAAGAAATTAAATAAGGATATCCAAAAGATGCAAGAGAAAACAATACAAGAGAATTAACTAAAATAATTCAAGAAAACAAAAGTTTAAAAGTTTTGAGGTGAAAAATATGAACAAGATAGACAACAAAAATATGTACAAAATAAAAAACAAAGATGGAAACATTATTACTGATTAAAGTAAAATCTTTGAGGTTATCGAATCCTTTTTTCGCGAAATGTATGAGAGCACCGACGAAAGGCAAGATCAACCCCTGCCCAAAATCACAAACCAGGGATTAGAATTAGTAACAGAAATACTCCATAACTCAATACGAAATCAAAATGGCACTTTCAATCAATGCTGTTGCATATAACTAATATGCATCTCATTGTACAATCCAATGGGAAAAACATAGAAATCCGATAACCCCTGTCCGCGTGCAAATCTCGAAGTGAGTTATTTTATCTAATGACGGTAAAAAGTGCAGTTTCTTCCAATATATCAATGTATTCTCAGGAAGTTCGTTGCTGACAGAATTCAACAATTTAGTGGGAATGTGCGGATGTTTTTTCTTGGTACATATGACGGATATCTTAGCGAGAGATAAGCAGGGAGTTTTTAGGATGTTTTGGACTCGTTAAAGTTATAAAGCTGTAACTCCATCTCAGTGAGAAAAGTCTTCATGGATGGTTGGGATGTTAGAAAGATTATGTATTGACTGACACGAAGGAGGAATTTTGTTTGTAGTTTACGCAGATTTTTTTTCCAAAGATAACAGCTTGTGTGATGTCATGACTGAGCTGAGAGAAAATATTTACCTTTATTCAATCAATGGAGAAGTTTTTGGAGTTTTTGTGTGCGTACGCCCGAATTTACAACATATATCGATGAGGAGATTCACTCTTTACCTTCCACTGTTAAGAATGGCATTCAGATCTAGAGTCCAGTAGTGTTTTACTGATCACCACATAGAGGTATTTTATGTCTTGTTCTTCTAGTGACAACTCCACTAATGAGGGTTGGCCCTTGCAAATTCAACTCTATCTTCTGCTTTTGTTAAGGAGTCTGTGTGTTTAACTCGGTCTAGTCGCGAGTTCTTTTCAGCCAAGATATTTGTTGCCCGTTTTCCTTCGATTTTACCCTTCATAATCAGCTACAACTCGAACTTATCATTTCTAAGTATGTGCCCCAAATATGCTGTCTTTCTCCTATTAACGGTGATCAACAGTTCTCTGTCTCTTTCTATTCTGTGCAATACCATTTCGTTCGGAATATGATCTATCCATAGTATTTTTGTTTTACTTTAACGAAATCTACTGCCGAAAAACTGAGATCAATGACACAAAGGCGAATGAAGAGATCAATGCTGGGCCTGACCTTGAAAGATCGCGTGAGAAATGAGGAGATACGCCGGCGAACTATTATACTGCGAATCAATAAGCAAAAGTGGAGGTGGGCTGGACATGTTGCTAGAATGGAAGACGGAAGATGGACGAAGAGATTATTGGAGTGGAGGCCAAGAGTCGACAAGCGAAGTCGAGGCAGACCACCCACCCGATGGACCGACGGCTTGAGGAGAATAGAAACAAACTGGATTGCAGCAGCTAGAGATAGAGAGAACTGGAGACGTTTGGAAGAGGCCTATATCCAACAATGGATGTGAAAATGGTGCTATCGGAGTCTTTGGTTACTCAGAAATGTCTTTATCTTCTCAATTGCTCCACTCTTGGTCAAATTTTTGATTCCGAATTTAGATCTTCAGTAATCTAGACTCCAAATATTCCATTTGGTCCACTGGTTCAATATCATACTGCAAAATCGGTACGTGTATGTTTCCATTCCGATTGTCAACATTATTGTACTGCAATTGAATTCGACAAAATCGTACTGCGCCGTTGGAACGTGAGTGGCGGACTTAAGTGTATTGATCAGTCTTGGGTTTGGAAAGGAGCTGTTGGTAAATTGCGTATGGTGGTAGTGAGACAATGTAACCTTGGTGTACCCCTGTTGTAGGAGCGTGTTTTTGAACTTCAAGAAAGTGCTTAGTGCGAATTTTTTTGTGTAATGTGTATGACGATTTCCGTAAAAGCTGTTGTGAAATGACCTCAGAACGATCTTTAAACCCTCCCGATTTATCTTAAATACGCTTAAAAATCATTGTTACAAGCAATGCAACATTGAGGTACAAGTGAGGGAGAAATATATTCCAACTGTATTATTTGCAGACCAGGTTATTTTTGGTGAAAATATTGACGATAATATAAATTTTGTTTAGAAAACTAGTGTAATAATTAAACAAATAGGACCTGGAAAATTCATACTGAACAAACAAGTATATGGAGATAGGCTGCGAATAACACCAATAATAGAGAAAAGATGGAAAAGTCATTGCAGAATATAGGTAGACGACGCACCATCATAAACCAGTTAAATTCTTTATATTATGTGAACTACAAAAAAGAACAGAAAGCTGTTTAGAATATTATAGAAAATGAATCTACGCTACGAAATGTAAAAAGCTGAGCCAGAAACAAACGCAGTCGAAATACAATTCTTGGCAACACAACAAGGAACAACAGTTATTGTAAGCATATTATATCACACATTCTGTCTCCGGCTTCTATACAACATGTAGCTTCTCCTTATAAATTTTAAAGTGTTTGTTTGTCTTAGTGTATTGTATTTTGTATTGTTATGTCCAAATTTTACATTTATGACATTCTACTATGTCGGATAGGCCACAACTGACGAAATGCCCCTGAAGATGATCTATTGTTCGAAAGTACTTGGGCAATATTAAATTAATCACCGTGTTCAATAGTTGCCTTGTATACCCTCAAAGTCATATTATATCATACTAAATTATATCTAAATAATTATTTATTATTATTTTCAAAATAAACCTTATCCATATATGTTTTATTGTTTGACAAACCCCTTCATCCACATATTTGTTCATAGATATCGTATTACCATGTCTCGTATAAATAACTATGCCTTATCACTGTAACCGGTAACAAAAATTATCTATAAAATTGATAAATTGCAGGTGTCCATATTATCTTTCTGCAATATGATGACTCTTGTTTTTTAACTTGTCATAAAATACTAATGTTGAAACTGTTTTGTTTAAATGCCAATTTTTTATGTTTTTTATGTCCCATTTCCCAGAGCACCCAAGATCAAAAACAAGTAAAGCTTCCCCAACGGTCTGCCATTCTTGACATATGTGTGACATCTTAGAACACCTTACTCCGTGAATCTCATATTCCCTGAAGCTGGGATTTACTTTGTTGTATGTGTGTGATCCCTTTTTTGTGTCTTTTCGTCAGGTGTTTCGCCTGCTTTAAAACTGTTGACTAACTCAGCTAAAGTAGGTACAGCGGAAAATAAGCAGAAATCAGCTTAGAATCATAACAGACTTCTTTACTAGACATGCGTTAAGAGACACCTTCACACAATGAGGTTTCATGAAGAATGATAAGCTGCAGACTTTATGGCATACAGTGTGAAGCGTTACATTACAGGCAACGAACAAGTACTTTTTGAAGACTACCAAGTGTCTCAAAAAAAATGTTATCTGTCTAATAACCCTGTACAAGCTGGTACATAATTCTTCCGAATTTCTGGAATAAGTATCATGAATAAATAGAAGATGCAGAATAAGTCAACTGATCGTTGGCTCAACATCGCAACAAATACGTTGCTCTTTGTTTAAACGCATCTTACAAACTATGGGTTTGCCAAAAACGCGAAATTGATTCTATAAAAACAGCTGTAGCCTCAAAAAATCTGAGGCAATTAATTAACCATCG